CAGTGGGGGTGAACGAGTTCTGGCCACGGCAACTGTTATGGCACCTCCTGACTCATACCCGGAAAAACTACTTCTCGAACAACAACCAGAAAAGTAAGAACTCTGGGAATTTTTTAAGAAAATAATGATGAATGATTGTACCTATAAGAGGATTTGCTTCTTTCATACTCCTTCTGCATGTAATAAATAATAATAAAGTAATAAGGCTTATATGTTGGTGTTATTCATTTTGACCGATCGCTTCTCGTTTTTTTTTTCATTACTACTCAACAATAGAGTGCTACAAAAGCAAAATTTCAGGTATGATAGCCACGGCGCTGATCGTTATAGCCCTAGCGCCGTCGTGTGCAGCAATTTTAGCAGTCCAGGCAAGTATTACAGCCGCAACTTTATCAGTTATTTCTCATAATTGTTACGCTATGCTCCTTCTGAGCGAAAGCAAAGTAAAGTAAAGAGTAGCGGCAATAAGAAATGAAGCACTGAAGTGATTAGTAATAATTAGGTTTTAATAAAGTATTCGATAATTGAAGTGCGAGGATTAGGTGAGGGGCCCAAAAAATGACAAAGGGAAGCCGCTAGGGTCCAAGATTTTCCCCACGAGTTTTATGAGAACCACGAAACCTGAGAAGACTCTTGTTTTCGACTTCACATCAAGTAAAAAGATCAGAAAGACCTTAAAAAATTTCAGGGTTAAAAAAGAATCTTTTACTCTCGAGACTCAGTCTATCTACTACAAATCACCTTTAGGAGATGAGTTTCCACTAAGATTAGCTCTAGGAGGCTAACTGTGCTATCAAGCTTCAGGATAACCTTGGTCGCGCTGAATTCTCATTTTTCAATAACACTTTCAAGTCCGGAACCAATCTGTATCAATCAATCTTACCGAAGAAGAGATAATTGGGTCACAGAGACGAACACGAAACCGTACCTTACTATGCATCTTTCCGAATAAAGACTATATTAGGAAATGGATGCTGCGATAAGATTATTGTAAACTCGAGAAAGCTTTAGATCCTATCGTTCAATTTCTCAAAAAAATTAAACTTTTTGACTGAGCAGACAAGTGGGGTTTTGGAAAAGTAGCTTCCTGAGTGGCTATGCTTTGATTTTCCAGAAAAATGAGCTGCGTAGCGCTGATACGTTAGATGGTCTTTGGACATTTGTTCGAGAGCAAAGTAACTCGGACGACGTTGGCTTGAACTCTTCCTGGCATACAATGGATCTGACCAAATTCGCTGTGAGTCTGCAAAATCTCAGTGCTTAATGTTTGTTAATTTCTACCCGATTCACTCATGTACATAATTCTACTTTTTCTGGGATCTGAAAGGGAGATTTAAGCCCCGTGGGGAGTTTATTCTGAACAAGGATCACCCTTAATTTGGTTTCCGATCTTCACCTTCTTCTCGTCAGGAGTAATCACGTTTTGTCTCTGATAAATTTCGTCTCACAGCCAGATGCGACCACCACTCACCATCAGAACGTAGTTGAAAGAGGAGTCTTAAAAAGGCGAGGGCAAGCGGGCTCTCGGTAGTGTAAGGGATAAGAGCACGGTCCCCGGAAAGGATAAGTACGGGTTCGAGTCCCGTCCGAGACTGGAGTTTTGCCCACAAATCGCCAACCTTATGAGAACGTAGTTGGTTCAAATCCTACATCGATTCTGAGGTGCAGTCGATGTGAAAGCCCCACTTCTCACTCTCAGAGACATATTCACTGCCGATTAAGCGACTCCGGAAAAAGGGAAAGCTTGATAGCTCTACGCGAACCGAGCGGCTCACACCTACCAAGCTTTCCCTCTTTTCTACCCATTAGGGACCTGATCGAACCAATCATATGGGAACGGAGCAGATTTGGAGATCGAAAATTGTCTTTTATTATTATTACCCTGAAGATCCTCTAAATGACGTGTGCTAGCTTTACAATACAAATATATTCGCCTCGTTGTAGTGTTGCAGAATGCGACAGTGATGCCAGTGCCAGCAGCATACAATGATATGTCAGCAAGTGCTGATCTTCGAGACCATGTTGGTTGGGTATGGTATCAGACTATGGTGATCATACCCGAACGTGACGCGGGTCAACGTCTCGTGCTCCGCTTCGGTAGCGTCAACTACTATGCCAAAGTGGTCAGTTCTGACAACTGGTCTGGTGTCCAAATTGGGAGGTAAAAATGAGAAAAGGTATCAATAAAGCGTTTCAGTTCTTTAATTCTAAAGAGGTCGGATCTCATGTGGGTGGCCATCTACCATTTGAGTTCGATGTCACAAATGTGGCAAAGCTCGGAGCGATTAATAAGGTATGCATCCCTAGTGTATTGAGTAGGATTAAGGCTTTATATGATATTGAACGGTTCAGTTTCTTTCAAGGTTAATTTAAATCTAATTTCTAGAAATGAGAGTAGAATTGTAGGTTACGGTTGCCGTAAACAATACTCTGTCATGGTCGACAATCCCGCAAGGCGATTTCAACTATATGAAGGACTCCACACGAAACATTGGTGGAAGAAATGTTGGTATTCATTCATTCCTATATTCGAATACGATTATCCTCACCCCTAATTTTTTCTATATCACGCTTTCCCAGAGCATTCAAGAGTTTACTCGACCGAAATACGGTTATCTTCACTCATAATCTTTATTACATCATGCTTTCCCGGAGTATCCAAGAGTTTATTCGACCCTTAATTGCTGAATAAGAGCCTGGGAAGTTAACCTTTGGGCCATCAAAATAGTTAGATCAGGTACCGCCTCACCGCTAGGTAATTAAACGATTGAAAGCAGGTAATAACCTTTATGGAATCCGACCCAGTAACTTCGATTCGTGTCCCTACAAAATCAAATTTCTAAACTTTCAATGTTGCCCGTGTTAGAGCCCAAAATCACAAATAGCGCCTAAAGATAGGGTTTAAGATGTAATTTCATCCTGTTTACATGAGGACTGTTAGCATCATGAAATTCAGCATTCAGATCTCCAGAACACCCGATGGTGCCTTCAAAAACATAGGCAATTTCGATTTCTTCAATTATGCTGGAATACTTCGTCCAGTGTACCTATTGAAGCTACCGCCCAGTCATATAGTCGACGTTTGGATCATTGCCGAACATCTAGGTGAAAATAACGTCTCCTATTCTATTCAAAACTGGCGGACAAGACCCGAGCAGTCGCGGCGCTGTCGGCTATCCGACGCTACGCGACTGCACGCTTCTTACCCGTAAGATTCATATCGCTGTTCGCTGTGCTATGAATCAAATCTTCAGGATCGTTTTCTTATCAAGTCACCCTTAGCCAAAACCGTTCTGATGAAGATGTCGTTGTTCGAATGTTAGATCCAGATGGAAACGTGGTCTGTCAATCTATCAATTAATTACGAACATATTCCATCAGAAACGTTACCCATAGGTGTACTCGGCACGTGGTCTTGAACAGAAGGGTTCCATAACAGCGGTGAAGCCGTGGTGGCCTCGAGGGATGGGTGAGCCAAATCTATACACATTGGAGGTAAGTCATTCGTCCACAAGTTCGTTGCTAATCGCTCATTTCCTTTGAGAACACCACAATCCCGACACTCTACCAAAACTTCCGAGGCTTACAACCAAGATTTCGGGATAAATTTTCTAAAAGTAGCAGTTTTACCTCTCTCCTCAGCCCCTCCTATCCATGGAATTACATTTGTTCTGCCCGCTCTGAAAGTGTCACAACGAATGAAGTATTTCGCTTAGGACGAACCCTTTGCCGTTCTGCAAGGTGTGATACTCACCCTCCACAAGCACTGTTGAAGCACTAAATTACAACTTACCAATTAATTCCAAGAATGGCTTGACCAAGCGAACAAGTAACTCTTGAAGACGATTCTCTCACAATTAAATAGATTTCCAGTAACTAACTAAACTAACGAAATGGTAGTATAGCCATCGGATTTTCATGGCGAAATCCCAATCTCTTCCTGGGGTGGTTTAAGAGTTTATGCCGCAAATGCTCTACATCTACTTGTACGCATAGGTTAATCCCAGATTCCCTCATCCCTAACTTTTTTAGTGACTATTGAAAGAAACGAGTATGTCGTAGAAAGCATGGCTCATGCCAGAAAAGTGATTACCATTTGAACCGTTCAATCGACCATTCTAATCTTATTGTTTTGTTTCACTGAAAAAACTAAGCTACGTTTGAATATCTCTGAACAGGTAGAATTGGTGGTGCCACGAGAGCAAGTCCGGCTGGATATCTACCGACAAAAGTTCGGTTTTCGTTCAGTCGGCTGGAGTGAAAACCAGATCCTAATCAACGACAAACCATTTTATTGCCTTGGTTTCGGTATGCACGAAGATTTTGAGGTCAGTTCTAGTAGACTACCGTATCTCATACAATGCACCTTGTTTTGTTCTTCCATAGATTCATGGTCGTGGATTCAATCCGGTTGTAATGACAAAGGATCTTAACCTGCTCGAATGGATGGGTGGAAATTGCTACCGCACCACGCACTATCCTTATGCTGAGGAGAGAATGGCAGAAAGTGATCGTCGAGGAATTGCAGTTGTCGTCGAAACACCGGCCGTAGGACTTAAGTACTGAAAGAGCATTGGAAAGATGACAGTCCAGTGAAAAGGCGTACTGTTTCAGGGGTTTCTCAAAAGAGAACAACTTGCTTCATCTGAAAATGCTCGAAGAACTAATCCAACGAGACAAATCGCATCCTTGTGCGATCATGTGGAGTCTGGCCAATGAGCCGAAAAGCGATCGAAAGGAATCCAGAGTATATTTCAAGTAAGTAATTGAGACTATCCCAGATACTGTGGCACGTCCTGCTTTTGAACGAATGTGAGAACCACGTAAAATATTATTCCAGGCGAACCCTTCCCTTTCCTACCCTCTCCACACCATTTCCCTTTTTTATTCTTTTTCGCCCTAGCTTCAATCCCGCTCTCAGTCGCAGTTCGTTGTTCTTATGAATTGTCGTCGCTTCCTTCTATCCACGGCATCTTCTGCCTTTACTTTGGTTTCGGAGACCCCCACTCCCTTCCATATGAAGCAATCATTATAAAGACAACGTTTCACAAAGTAATGTGAGCTAGTTACTCAAAGCAGAGCCAGGTTTGATACCATGGGTCAGTCCTATCGCTATGACTCCACAGGGTTTTTTCCAAGCATGACTACTCTCCTCTTTGAGTTCCATTTCTCCTTTATTTTTAGTAAGCTAATTCCGTGACGCATCCATTCATTCCCTCTGATTCTCATTCTCCACTAGACCCGTTTCACATCCGCTCGTCTTTTTTCCCTTTACCCTTGCCCATGGAATTCCACCCACATTCCGAGATCACACATTCATCAAGAATCATCTATAAGAGCCCGGACCATGAAGTCTAAAAAAAAATCTCGAATTCTATCACCTCCCGACTGCCGATCATTTCACTCTTTATCGTGAAACTGGCCCTGTATGCTTGAGATGTTGAGTTCCAGTTCCATAAAAAGTCGCCACAACATCTTTTTTCAGGAGTCTTGTCGACCACGCCCATGATCTAGACAAGACTCGCCCAGTGACTATTGTGTACGGACCAACTAGCTTTGACAATGATCAGACAGTACGTTTTACAAACCTTATGCCAGCCTGAGGTTCTAGCAGAGAACGATCCCGTTTTTTATCTGTAAACACCCCATGCACTACTATGCTCTCACAAATGAAGACCTACTGGATGGGTGTCTAAACAGAATAGCTATATCCTCGAAAATATTGCCGAAATTCGATCCCATGACTCGCAACTTACGAGTTGTAACTATTAAAAAAAATGCTCCCCTGAATGATTTGCTTCATGCTGAGTCATGAGATGGAGCCGTTTCCGCCCTCCCATATCAGCTCTTAGCTCTAATCAAATCTGTATCTCGAACGAGCATGAATGTTTTCCCTACGGAAGACACTACAGTAAAAGTCATCCTCGACCTGTATTTCAGGCTGACCTCATAGACGTTATCTCTGTTAATCGATACTACGGGTGGTATATTGATATGGGCAAGTTGGACTGGATCAATCAAAGCGTATACTGGGATATCGCTCAATGGTCAGACAAGTATAAACGACCTATTATAGTCACCGAATACGGAGCTGACAGTCTACCAGGGTTGAATCAGGTATAGCCATTTCCAGTTAGCCGAACGTAAACATGAGATTTCTCAAAAACTGGAGGTACAACGCCTCCTGGTGTAAAATAATATTCTCATGCTCTTAAACCACTACATTACCATATGATCGTCTCTCAAAAGATGGAAAAAACTAGATGGCTCAAGAAAGGCTCTATCGCAGATCTGATCTTTAGGCTAAGAATATGGTTCGTCTCAACCCGTCAAAATTACTTCATACTAATGCAATGACGGCAACATGTGATTTATCGTGTTTTACAAAAACAAAATTTGCAGGAGCCTTCCGTGGACTTCTCAGAGCAATATCAAAATGATCTCATCATTCAAACACATCATGCTTTTGACGTTCTTCGCAAGGAACACCGACTTGCTGGAGAGATGATTTGGAATTTCGCCGACTTTATGACTGCCATGAGTAGGAACTTTAATTCTAAGGATTTTGCAGCCGTCCGTTAACAATCTGCTTTTAACTGTAAACACTACCGTAAACTACAGCATAGACGAGTACAAACGGCTTTATGCTCACTTATACTATTGCTGCGTCCGCTACTTCCTCGAAGTGCTTATACAGCATACCTCATATTTTAGCAACGACACGAGCCGTAGGAAATCACAAAGGAGTATTTACACGGACACGACAAGCTAAAATGGCCGCCTATACTTTGAGAAATCGTTATTTATCGCTTTTCAACCAAACGGATTTGGAAATATGGAAATAAGAGCCCTATCTGCACTGCTGAACTCTTCCTCATAATAATTGTATAAAGTACAAATTATTACATTAATATATTGCATTATTACTTTGGTGTGTAATGAAGCATAAGAAAAGTAATTGTAGTTGTTAACAATAAGATACATATGAACGCAACGATTAGCCTCGGAGAAGAGTTCCATCTGATTTTATAGTATATGTCTACTGGGCCTAGTCATTGCGCTACTGCACACACGGTCTGTCCAGTTCTGATTGCCATCTTAAACGTACGATCAACCTTTTCGATATCGCCTATATGGTTTCAGAGCTTACCTTTCTCCTAGACGACTGCCCAATATGCAATTATTGGTTAACGTGAAACTGCTAAACATGCTGAGCATGAACCGCTCCTTGAGGATTTTTCTTGCCCACGAAATAACGGAAGCAATGTGTCTGGTACTAATTAATCGAACACCCGTGCACGAAAGACCGTTCCGCCCTAGCATGTAACCATTTGAAATCTGACACTGAAATGTTCCCTGTGGCAGCAACATTGCTTGGCACCGTTACTCCTCCTTCCAAACAAGGTCGAATTTTTTTTACACTACGAATTCCTCTGCCTCACACAGGAATCCTCAAGTCAGTTGGTTAATAGTGCAGCAAGCCAGCACGAGGTCGATGAACAGTACAAATATCAAGAAGTTACAGCAGCTGATTGTATTCTGAGCTGGCGTAATGAGCTCCTTCAAGTTCATAGGGCTTTCAGGAAATCCTTTAGATAACATCAATATCATGAAGAAAGTTCAAAATTATATAAAGCTCGAACCTGATTTTGCCGACGATCCAGTTGAGTTTCTACTTCACCTCCTTTTGAGCTGCCAGACGTAATTTCATTTCCGCCAATAGGTCAGCTCTACTCATTTTGTTGGGGTTCTCCTTCGACCAGTTTCCTGACAAAGCATCTTCGGTCCATCTCAGAATCAGCGAGACCTCCACCTTGTCGCAGCAGTAGTTATAAATCCCTACAGAACAGCGAGGCTATAATTACTGAGAGAATGTGAACATCAGTACACACAAATACGCTTATGGGTCACAAGCATTGATGAAAGGATGTAAGCGCCTCTAACAACAAACAAGCCGCACATTTCATTAAGAGTTTATTTGTAAGATCCACTGGGCACCAAGTTCACATTTGAGAGATCATTAGACACGGATAAAACTACCACGTTAAGTGAAATCATAACAACTCCAGGTCACCGAGGACTTGTGCGTATGGTTAGTGGTTTTGAAGGCTCTCCGAGAGTTCCATCCAGATGAACAGGCTGCAATTTCCACATTGACTTTATGGTGGCCAATGCATGCAGCAAACAAATTACACCTACCTGTAACTGGATACTGATTTCAACCTCCGGGTCAACATCTGAGATTCGAGCAGCATTATTCGGTGCTTTAACAACACCACTTTCAATTCCATTCGTGAGCACCTTGTAACCTGAAATAAAAATGGTTGAAAAATCTCGACATTCGGAAGCACTTCTGTGAAAGTACAAGGGAACTTACATTTGACCATAGGCAAATCCCAGACGATCTCGAAACAACCGTCGCTCAACTCACGTGCAACCCGAAGATTGCACGGTTCTGGATAACGTGCTTCCTTCATAGATTCTAACTCGCTTTTCAGCGACTTGACATCATTCTGAACCAAAAAAACACTTTCTAATTCATGAGTATCTTATAACAGCTAGCACAAACCGAAAATTTATCAGCCATTTCCACGAGTAACCTGCTCAGCTCATCATTTATTCTTGTGAGATTATCATTCTCTTCGGACAAAACAGAAACGCGATCTTCCAGACTCATCACTCGCCGGAGCATTGAATTCTTAAAACTCGCGGGACTACACGAGCATCCCAATATGGCACTTAAGGAAAAGCAAAAGTTTAGCTTTTGTGGAGAAAGGTCGCACCTCAAAATGATCATTCTTGTTTTTACTTTTTGATGGTCCCATGTCAATTGAGATGTCCGTTACAACAGGAGTAGGACTTGGTCGGTATCGGCTATGCTTAAAAAGAACATTCAGTGAAACTCGACTTAGAGTTCCAATTGACTTCTTCGGAACTGTATCATGAAATTGTTTTTTAACCTCAGTAGAGTGCTCTCTGGTAGTGCTGTGTTTTTTAACCTCGATAGAGCGCTCCCTAGTGGTGTTGCGCTCAGGCTTGCTTCCAGGATCACGGCAGCGATCAGTTGATTCAGAGGATTTACGACAGTTTTTTGTTGCGATCTGAAAATGGAACTCTTCAATTAGGCGTCATTTTTTATGACACAATGAAAACGATTACTTGTTGAGATTCCTCGAATTCAACAGAATCCTGCTTTGAATCACCATCATCATCTAAGCGCGCTGCTCGTTCTTGCGAGGGTCCTCGTATAACGCGTTCTACTCTAGCAGTCGTCGCAGTGGATGCTGTGCCTTTAGAGCTGAAACGAAGTTTAGGTTTAAAAAATTAATTTTCTATACATGGAGATCGATCTCAAAATTGTAAACTGGATCAAATATTGCACGTACTTTTCTTGACTGCCTAATACTGCTGCGACGAGCGTAACAGTGGTGGAGGAATCAACTGAGTCCATAGTCGATGTACGAGAAAGTGGCTCAAAATGAGAAGTAGGCCTTGATGTTATGGGCACGTTTCGATGAGGTGTAGATGAATACGGCGAACGTGCCGAAACTGAATGACGTTTCACTGGAAGGCGTCTAATGGTTGACCGATTAGCATTAAACGACGAAAGAAATGAACATTCCTTACCGTGATTTGTAAAATGTACACCAAGCATGAATGCTTGTCAAGATCAATCAAGGTCGATTATTGGTTCAAAAAATGAGAAACAAGTGTTAATTAGCGATTACGTTAGAAAGTTCTGTTTTTGAGGAGAGGCAGGGTACAGCTAAGTGTCAGAAGAAGGTATGTATGCCTGTGAAAATGGGTAGGTCAGGAGTGTCGGGAAACTATGTGCGAAGAGAAATTGTGAAAAAATGAAACAAAGAAGTTATGGTCGTGGCCTGGTCTCGCACCAAACCATTCGCCAGGCGTATTAAATAGTTTAATAAAAACGAGAACGAGAACAACTTCAACAATGGTGTCAATAACATACAAAAACTTTCGTCCCCACTTGAACTAGGAATTCGATTCTCTTTCCCTTCTAGTTGAGCGGTCCATGCTCTGTATGGAGAATGTAAGCTAAGAGACTGGGAGGAATCATCGTCGATTCCGCTGTGATTCAGCATCTCCCGCCGTTTCTCCATCACCTGAACATTATTGCATTTACATTGTTCGTTAGCTCCTGAAATCCTAACACAACACTTTTACCTTCACGATGGATTGGTCCAAAGTTGATACAAGTTTGCCATCGACATCATAGGGGCAATATCGTTCTAAATACTTAACGAGTGCGGTATGCGATCCAGTATCCGGCTTGAAGGACCGTCCTTTCCCTTGGCTATACAGCCATTCTCCTACAAAACTGCTGTACACGTATTCTGCACTCGAAATGTAAACAGGACAGAAGAACCTTTAAGTTGCTCTTCTTCGCTGACCACAAATCCATCAATGTCTTGCAATGAAGGCAATATCGACAAGATATAGATGCGGTGATCGAACGATGAACTCGATATGCAAGGATTGTTAGCTGAAGTCGGTCGCCTATTCAATCACCTATTTGCGAATAATAGAACTCTTTAAAGTACGCACCTAAAGAAATTGATTCAAGCCTTTCCAGAGGTAGCAAACGCATGAATTCCGTGAGATCATCGATGTAATTGGAAGCGACATTAAAAGTTAGAAGATACTTTGGGAAAACAATCCCCTGGAACGGTTCCACGTCAAAGCTCNAAAAAAAACTGGATCTAATCTGGCTGTCAATTGAAATTGAAACACTAAAGTTTAAAAAACTAAAGCAGAGAATAAACAAACTTTCAATGATGAGATTCTATTCGACGAGATATCCAAATGAGTTAGTGATCGTAACCTAGATATATCAGGTAAAGACGCAATGTTATTCGAACTTAAATCCAGACGCGAAAGACGAGGATTATCAAGTGCAGCAGGAACACTCTGAAAACCAGCTATTCTATAAGGGTCAAAATAGGTTCTGGCAAAAATATAAGTAAAAGAATAACATTAGTTACATACCTCAATGCAATTGCATGAAATGTCTAACGTCTCCAAATTAATGAACGATCGTAGGCAATCAATACTAGTGATTTTGTTGTTAGAAAGGAATAGAGCTTTAAGAGCTTTTGCTAGTGGCAGGAACGATGACAACTTATGTAGCTGGTTATCAGTGGCATCAACCTAAAGATAAAAAGAAGAAACAATAAACAAAGGCAATTAAGCTTAATTATTATAAAGCATAAGAAACACCCTTACTTGGACACATTGCTTGAACATGTCGAAGCCTGCTACATTTTTGAACCTATTGTTTCTAATGATGAGCTTTTTCACAATACCTGAAAACACACACTTGAAAGAACCGGAAGCTGTTTTACTTGTCAGTCACTTATAAGCAAGTCAGGATATCTAATCATATTTAATTGAAGGGGCGGTGGTGACTAAATAGCAACGCGCAACGCATGGCCCTGGGATCGATTCTAGGATCGGTATCTGCTGGGGCCGATTCCAGGATCGGTATCTGCTGGGGCCAATCAAGCCTTCCATCTCTAAGGGTCGTTACTTGCTGCCACACTCGTCTGGGAGGATAAAAGCAATGCCTTGTACATCGGCTGGCCACCGGCCACATAGGCCACTTATGCATTCAATACACCGATGCGATTCCGAGTGGAAGCCGTACTCAGGCCGTATCCCAAAAAGTGGCCGATTAGAGCGAAAGACTTTATTCTATCATTGTCTAATTGAAATTCAGCAGATATGGTTATACATACCCTTCGATTGTTAAGGTATTTTAGGCGAATATAAGATAAGTTCCACTGGTAAGGTGGAAGAAGTACAGCTCATGCCAGATATCTATGCAGTAACTCTTTGAACTATCAATTCCACTGCTTAAAAGTGAAAAGATGCAGGCGTCGATGAGCGGATGACTGTGGCAGAATACCTATCAAACGAGCACTGAACATTAGTTTATTGGGATTGTTCCAGGGGATTTGTCTAGAAAGGTAAGGCCTTGCTGATTGAATGGCAAACCACTCACTATATTCCTTCCGATACTTGCGATCAAGTTGGCTCAAACCGCGGCGAGACAGATCCAACACACCATTTTTACATAATGGAGGGGTCCCACCATCATGCCTTCAACGGAATCCATCAAATAAACTTAAAGGGAACTGGAATTGATGAGATATGTATGATCACACCTCGAGTCATCGCTTAACGATCGATCGTGAGATCTATCAAGTGATTTGTCCTCGTCTACAGAGTGGGTGGATTCCAACTGCCTTAAATGAAAAGATGTTAGACAACAAATTTACTGGGAAAATACTACTAGGAAATCACATTTGAAAAAGTACCGAACTCACTGTTCGCTGTTCAAATCGCTACGTGACGTGGGTCGATCGTGTTCGGTAGCAGTTGACACTGGTGACCTTGAAACGGTGGCCTGAACAGGAAATGAACTTCAATTTCAAACTTTTCAAAGTGGAAAAGGCCTCTATTTCTAGGACTCGCAGATCTTTTTTAGACTAATGTAGCAATTTCTACACGACAGAGCTCTACCAGTAGGTTTTTTGCAGTAGTTTCGTAGAGTTCGGAACAAGGTGTAGAACTAACATTGCGATCGCTTCCGTCTTGTTCATCGTCTTCTACACCAGCACTTTCACCATTCAATGCCATTGATTTTGCCTAAAATTTCATCCACTTACACAAGAAGGGTGTGGACAACCATCAAGGAACACAAGAGTCATCAAAAAATAAGCGGAATTAACAAAAACTTTCCGCGCTCCCGCCGAAATTTTGCGGCCTACGCCAAATTGCACAAACTTGGCAAGCTCCCACCATGGAAGCACATGCTTTTAAAAACTTCTTAACGTGCTTGACTAGGTCAGATGTTTCTTACATATTAGAAAATTCTTTTCTGTTTTCAGAGAAAATACTTCTTAGCCAAGGATTTTACTCAGTTTTTCAGTTTGTAGGAGCCTATGATTGGCTCGGTTTCATGAGCTCATCGCCTGGCTCCAGTAAACCGTCAACGCCTCGAAGAAGTAAAGATAATCTGTCGAGTTCGGGGCAGGATGAGGATCTGTATGCTACTATCGATGTGCCTGTTATCGACCGGAGGTTGTTTTTGCCCTTTTTTACCGCATGTGCTCGAACTTTTTCGCCTTTCGCCTTGTTACGTTTGCTCTACTGATCTCCTACCTTCTCACCACAACCCACCTTTTGAATGCTCCGCTGTGAAGAGTATGGTCCTCTCAAGCGTTTTATACAAAGCCGCTTGAGCTGAGTTACCCTAACTATTCAGCATGAATCTTTTGAGAGTCTCTGCGAACTGCCCAAGCGCGATTACCTAAATGGTTATTGGTCCTTCGATCAATTGGGGATTAGTTTTGTGCCTTCATGTTGTCTCTAGCCAAGAATCCACCAATTTGCCCAACATGACGGCAGAATCGTTACTGTTAATTGCACATAGATTTCTTTTGTATCTGATCTCGAATACTGGTTACAATGAGCAGCAATTGTATTCACGCATTATTTTCAGCCAAATCGATGATCTCAATAGTACGAAATTAGGAGAAGGTACCTATGGCTACGTAATGAAATGTCGATTCCGGCGGACAGCCAACTCTCCGTGGAAGTAAGTGCCCTATATTTACCCTGCCCCTCTTAATCTGCTTTCATTTCCAAAGACTAAGCCATAGTCACCCTGTCTTCATGTGTACTTAAACACATGTTTCAGAGACATGGCCATAAAATATGGATCAACTCCTTCTCATAGAGACCTCATAATACGGGAAGCGAAGATTATCTTCAATCACATCTCGCATCCTAATTGTATAGAGATTTTTGGTTTTTACGATAGCCCAAAGTATGGAACGGGTGTTGCAATGGAATTGATGGATTGCAATCTAGCCAATCGTGAGCTCAATATTTCTCTTTTCGTTACGTTGGAGTTTCTGAACCTAACTTTACTAAATAATTTCGTGAAGCAGAAGAAGGCAAGAAGAAGGCACTGCTCGAGATCGCATTTGTTACTGATCTGAAATACTATTAACGATCTTACTTGCTGTAAAGCTATCGACGTGTTTAAGTCGGAATTCAATTATGCTCGTTAAACTGCTAATTTCCGAGATGGATTCTTCGGATTTTCCTGACATTTACACTTCAGTGATTTCAAAAAGGACGGTTGAGTACAAAATTGATCATGCTATCTCATGGCTTTATCAATTATCTGATGCAGTGAACTACTTTCATAGCAGGAATTACGTACATGGGGACTTGAAATTGCAAAAGTAAGTCTCTGCTGTGGTTCGTCGTGAGTTTTTTACTCATATCCTGTTCGGCAATGATTCTTTTTAATTGTGTGAGCTGACAATGTCTTCGAGCATCAAAATATTTGATGTGCCATTCTCAGACGTTTTGGTGTTATACCAAGCTCAGGCTCGAATGTTTTCACGCGCTGCTATTTTCAGTCTTCTGCTTTGCGATGGTTATCACATTCTGAAGGTATGTGATTTCGGCACATTTGTAACACTACAAGAGTCGATGACTTTGAATCACGGAACACCCATAACAATGGCTCCCGAAATCATCAGAGGCTCAAAAAACTACACAACCAAATGTGACATATACAGTTTTGGAATTATAATGTGGCAAATTATAGCTCGGCGGTGAGTTTATGAACTTTTAGCTGCTAGCCAATTTGATACGACTCTGGGTCTCTCATCGAGTAATGGTTGTACATGTGAAGGGTTCAGCGGTCTTCAACAATGAAAACTGAAATGTTTCAGTGAGTCACCATATTCGACAGCACATGACGCGTATACAATTTATTGGGACATCGTGACAAAGAATTTGCGCCCACCCAAACTCAAATGTCACGAGTATTTGTCACAGTTTTATGAAAGGTGAATTTTCTGTCGCTGATCTATTATAATTTTTTCCCTTTCTTAATTCGCTTTTACAAAAATTGCCTTCATAGGTGTTGGCATGACGATCCAGATGTAAGACCAACCAGTGAGGAACTGATGGAATATTTTTCGTCTTTGAAGGAGGTAAGTTCATCATTACGCTTTTTCGTCTCTATCTTATTGTAACGGATTTACTGTTTTTGAGATGGATGTAATTTATCGCTAATGAATTGCCTATTTTCGTTTTCGCTTGTGCTATGCTTCAAAGCTATTTCATCTTCTTTTGCTGTGTTTATTCAGGAATACCCAAACGCGGATGACCCTCTGGTCGACTCGAGAATAAACGCGCCGCCTGTAACACCGCCACCCAGAGCGGTATGTTGTTATTATGAGTGTCATTGTTATTTGCCATGTTGTTAGTGTTTATCCCCGAAGTCTGTGTATTCCAGAGTACGCCGCTTGATCGAAAACATCGGCGGGGACGCTCAGATCAGTCGGCACTAATTCAAACTGTATGAATTAAAGTCTGTCACTATTGTGGGAATAGTTATAGAGTTCATTTCAGAGTGGTGGGAATGAGATGGACGGTGCGTCGGCATCCAAGATAGTTGAAATTCCGAAGCCACGCGTGAGAAGTTCTCGATCTCACTCGGAAAATACTTATAGAAGCGAATCCGCAGACGAGCGACTTCGACCCCTCCCGCGACCAGTGGAAATGCCCGTCAATGTTCTCAACTATATAGACCACTCATTACGAGTGAGCTCTCCGGTCTTCTGTCATGTAATATGTTGTACAGTACTTACATATATTTTCTGGGAAATCACCCGCAATGCCTGTATACACTGAAGACATTACAGCCGGCTGATCCGGTCGCTGGTGATGGAGCTTCCGAGCAGATTTACAGCGAACACATTGCTGCTTGTCACGAACTTCATGATTATAACCTAAATTTGCAACGGGCTTTAGCAGATAAGTGAGTAACTTCAGTTTTTCATGTGGTGCACACGGATGAATTGTATCCTCTTTTACCAGCAAAAGCTGGGCCCAATATGTGAAGCTGTGCTCCCGTCTATTCTTCACCAGTTTGGCTATGCACGCTAACGCGCGCGGTATATGTCAACGGCCACTTATCCACGATGGAGTCATTCAGCGGAATGTTGGACAATCAGAATAAGATAGTTCTCTCTAGATTCGAACGCTGAACTGCTGAGAGCATCACACTCGATATATTTGAGCAGAGTTATTAGTGGTTGATCATAGCTCCGTCCACCTTAGTGCAAACCCTTCCCACAATGAACTTGACCACCCTTCTTTTGACTGCTCCAAACAATTTTTTTCGCGTTCCAGAAAGTTTTTGAAGAGATGAGGTTTTGGTCCTAGCCCCGCTCCAAGTGCCAGCTCCGCCCCCTTCGTGGACTTAACTACATCTGTTCCGATTCCTCCTACAACCTTTTCCCGT